TTTTTTTGGAATAGAACGGCAAAGCCGATACAAGCTAAAAAAGAAGAAAAAAGAAAAGCAGAAAGAGCAATAAGAGAAGAGATACAAAAACAACAGAGAAGGCAACTAGAAAAGAAGCACAAAAGATTATAAGCGCGGGTAAGGAAACATAGCTGCGTCCTTAGCCAACGGAGTGAGAAGATCGTCCGGGGGAAAAGCCCAAGTAGTGAAGAAAGCTTCCTCCTTGGATCCTCTCCTTGCCAAGCGATCTGCAACGGAATTTCCCTCCCTCCAAATGTGAAAAAACCGTAAATAGTTAATAGTGATTAGTTAATAGTGGCTATTATAAAATAAATAAATAAAAATATAATTACTTTAGTAATGCAAAACAAATTATGGTGCCAATAAATGAGGTGGGTTCCAGATTAGTCGGTTCCCCTGTGGATCCAGAAACCGAAAAGTCCCTGTTCAAAAAAAAAATGAGATGGGTTGGGTCAAACCCATTTTAGGAAATTCAGTTACCAATTTACCCGAAAGATACCCGATTACCGGCGCGTAAAACCCAACCAGAACCTGAATGTCAATAAAACCGATACCAGGTCGATTTCATGTTTGATTCATGCACCCAAAAAAGAGAAACAAAGGAGAACAATAAATAAAAAAAAAAAAAAATCAAACTCGCCTAACTCGTAACAGGAAAAGATAAAGAAACCAACGACAACAAATATAAAAGTAAAAACAAAAATTCTCTGATCATCTAAAAACCATAAAAACCTTGAAAAGTACACAGAAAATTGCCAAAACATCCCATGTGAGATTCCTCTCAGTTGCTCCACTCCATGGATAATACTATTATAATCGCAAATGCAAGAATGAAAAACCCGGCAAAGATCCTAACCCAATTCCCAAAACGGGCCCTCCATCTCGACTGGAAACTCCTGCTTCTCGTCCTATTTTCCGTCACATTCCTAGCCTACGCTTCTCTCTCATCCTCCCCAGCCTCGCTATCCATCTCTCTCCGCTGTTTTGCCCCTTTCAAATCCAAATCTGGCGGCGGCGGCGGCGGCGGCGGCTGTGCCCCGACCGGCCGTAATCCTGTCCGACCCCAGAACCCGTTGAACGGGTCGAGAATTGCCGTTTGTTTGGTGGGAGGGGCCCGCAGGTTCGAGCTGACCGGGCCGTCAATTGTGGAGAGGATTCTCCGGGTTTATGAAAATTCGGATCTTTTTCTCCACAGCCCGTTGGATTTGAACGCGTACAAGCTTCTGCTGTTGAACGATGCACCCAGAATAGCTGCTGTCAGAATATTTAGACCCGAACCCATACCCGAGACTGAGTCGGAGGTCCGGGTTCTGACGGCTGCCGACTCGCCCAACGGTATACAGGTGCTTATTCTAACTAGTTTGGATTCACAATTTCAGACATTAACTTCGGTTGAAATAATTCATGTGGCCTCTTTATCTATATGAGTTTGTTGCATTTAATTTGGACAAAACCAATCTTGGTTGATGGTCGTTCCGTTCTCATCCGAATGGCTTAGCGTTAAGTTTTCTGATGCATTGAATGTTCTGCCATATAATATGTTCCTTTTCCAAAAGAAGTTTAGGTATAGATCGACGGCATTGTTGTATCAGCCACATTTCGGAACGATCAGTAGCAGCTATTTTATCCGACTATTTTCGAATAGGAAACCTTTTCTAGAGGTTCGAGATCTTGACATAGTTGGGCTTAAATCGAGTATACTTATGTTTGTGAAGGTCCTCACTGAGAACAACTTAGCAGGATGAGAAGAAACTAATGCTTAAGAGGGACAATGATTGATTTTTTCTTAGAAGGATAGCAAACTGTGTTTCGTTTGGTATTTAAGTACAGTATATGGAAAACTGTGCCTCTAAGTTATGGATAGGTGCATTCATTTCTGTATTGAAGCACAGAATGATGCAGAGTTGAATCACATGATGTTGTCTTCACTCTTTTGATCTGCTGGGGATTGTAGTTTCTTGTCGTCCATTGCAGGTTCGCCTGAAATTTTCGGCCGTATATATAGCATGATAGGTTTCTTATTGATTTTTAGTGGCCTTGTCTAAATTTTCTGGTTGTATATTAATTATATTGAATTAATGGATTGAACGAGTTAAGAGGTCGAAATTATCTGTCACCATTTTAGATTGGATAATTGGCCATTTTCAATTTTTTTCTTTCATCGAACAGTTGGTCGGTTTGGCTATCTGTAATCGAGACACCACTCTTGTTCTCCAAGTTTTTCCTTAAGAAATAAGGGTCTGTCTTTTGTTTGTGGCATACTTGGATACACCAGAATGTCCTCTTTATGACTCTTTCTTGGCCGTTTTGTTTGAGAGAAGTCGATAGACTGATAATGCTTAGTCATGTTAATGCATTCGTGATCTTTTTTTTTTTTTTTTGGGTACAAGCGATGGAGGCCAGAGGCCCGAAGCATTCGTGATTTTATTACTGTAGTTTTGAAATGTCATATAATCAATCAGTTAAATCTTGTGCTTATGCTTATCCTCCCCTATTGACAAAGATTTAGAACTTCCATAACTTCATTAACTTAGAATCCTTTAGGAGCATAAAAAAGGAGTAAAAGAACACGTAAATTAAAGTAGTTGGCAACTTGGACTTTTTGATTTCACTCATTGAGACTTATGTTGCTGCAGATCACTGTTTTTTTTTTTTTTTACTAAAACATTCCTTTGACTAAAACATTCCAAATACATCACTTTTCCCAGACAAGATATTGCATTAGACCTAGTTGTCAATACTACCCAATTATAATATTTTCCTCTTATTAGTTTGATTAAAACACTATTCACATTTTGCTTTGATGATAAAACAAATTCCAATTTCAAATACCTGCAGGGCTTGCTGCAATATTTCAACCTTGTAGAAGGCTGCCTAAAAATGATCAAAGCATATCAAGAAGAGAACAACTTCACTTACGACTGGGTCATCCGAACAAGAGTCGACGGGTACTGGTCCGCCCCATTGGGCCCCGAAAACTTCATTCCAGCCAAATATTTAATTCCGCCTGGTTCGTCCTACTATGGCCTAAACGATCGGTTTGGAGTAGGAGACTACAATACCTCGGTTGTAGCACTTTCGAGGCTCTCCTTAATCCCTCAGCTGGAATCGGCTGGGTTTACCGAACTCAACTCGGAGTCTGCTTTCAAGGCCCAACTCACCACCCAAAAGGTTGAATTCACCACCAACCCTCTGCCATTCTGTGTAGTGACTGATCGTGAATATGAGTTTCCTCCGGCCCGGTTTGGGGTGCCTGTTGCCGCGCTGTCGAGCCCTGGCCCACTTAGTGGCGCCAAGTGCAGACCTTGCCGGCCCGTCTGCACTGGATCTTGTGTTGGGCCTATCATGAATGGGCTTGCTAGAAACTGGAGCTGGACCGAGTGGACTGAAACTTCAGTTGAGCTTTGTGATGCACACGGCGAGTGGGAAAATGGGTGGGAGATGTTGTTTGATGAAGTTGCTGGGAAAAAACTGGCTTCTGCAAGGAACAAAGTTTGGGCTTTGAATATGAGCCAATGCGTTTATGGATTTGATAGAATGAAGAGACGGACAGCCCACTGGTATGGGTCTGGACCCGAGGAAATTTGCAGGCAGGGCCTGAAGTCGAGGTGACGACAAAACATTTCTAGATTTTTTTAAAGAGATACTGTGAGTTTTTCTTTTATATTCGTTAGATGAATGACACGTGTACATTAGCAGATAAAGTGAACTCAAAGCCGCTGCACGTTATTGTCCGAGGTGGTTCGCCTGTTCATTCCGTAGGAGGTTACAAAGCTACGAGTGTTTGTTATCGAAAGATGAAATACGAAATGCTGACTCATAAGGTTTTTCCGGTTTATCACCCTGGATTCACAACACGATGATATATGTATAGTCTATTTTACATGTATACTATGTTTTTAAAACTTTTTGCAAAAAGGCGACATTTATATACACCATATATAAACCATTCAAAAATTAAACATAAACTCAAAAGTAATGCAATTTAAATCAACTATTAGAATAAACTATTAAAAGTTAGTATATTTGTAATTAAAATAAAATAGAGGAGTCACCTCCCCCTCCTCGCCTTTCGATTCCTTACCGACTTGGCGACCCTTCTCCGACGGTTCTTGGTATCGACATCCTAGCGATCGACATCCTGACGACCACCCTTGTGATAACTCCAATCACCCCTATGCACAACCTGGGGCTCATGGTGGCCACTTGGAAGACCACGCTCCAGGTTATCTACCTTAGGACCCAGTTGATCTCTCTCTCTCCCTCTTCTTGACGATCTTCTGGTGCCACATGACAATCCTCTGATGCCGCATCTGCCTGTGCCACTTATTTGATCGCCTAAAAAACATTTCATCATATTCATAGTAGATCGCACTGGCATGTGGCGCTTGTTCAGCAGTTCAACAGAAAAATATCTTCATTACGCAATTTTTTACAAATTTACAAATGTTTTTTTTTTTTTTTTTTTTTTTTTTT